ACAAACCCTCCATTGAGTAGCTTTTATCCAGCATGCTCTAAAAATTATCAGAGCCAAACATGGAGAAAACTGGAATAAACTTGTAAGAACAGCAGCAAACTTGGTGATCACTATAGGTTTTGGCCAAAAACTGCTCAGGTAGCTTCAAGACATGCTATCAGTGATTTTTACCATAGTTTAGTTTTTCTGTTCTTTCATTTTTGAGGTAACAAGTTTAGTTTTGGTACCCCAACGTGTTGAAAAGTTTACAAGAAAAATAATAATGGTAGAAACTGACTGACTCAAGGAATCACAAGGCCAAATGGTTCAACTTCAAGCCAAATTGTTCAAATGTTATAAGCAAAAACTTTTGACCAGTAAATTGTACTGTCACCAAATCATTCAGTCAGTTTTCCTTGAATGCAATGTGTAGTTCACCCAAAAATGAAAAAAAAAAAGTATAAAATAAAATAAAAACCATGTACTCGCCCTCACGTAGTTCCAAATCTGTATGACTTTTCCTTTTTCTGTGGATCACAAAATAAAATATTTCGAAGAACGTACACTGAGGCTGTTGACTTCCTTTGCGTCTCAAAATGTCCCACAAAATAAAGTCAAACTGGTTTGGAAGGACATGAGGGTGAGTTAATGATCACAACATCAATTTTTGGGTGAACTATCCCATGTAACTTGATCTGAAGATCATCTAATGCTACCTTCACACTGCAGGCAAATGCGGCCCAAATCCGATTTTTTTTTGCTCACACCTGACTCGGATCTGTTTTTGTCATGACAGTGTGAACGGCACAAACCGCATGGAATCTGATCTTTTTAATTCCAATTTGTGCCACTTCCATATGTGGTACTAAATTATCCGATACATGTCAGATGTTTTGCAATGCGACCGCAGTGTGAACAGTCATGTCGGATTTCATGCGACTTTTACGTCACTCTAGATCGACATTCGTCTAAGGCCCTGTCCCAAATGGAACACTTCATGTGCACTTGCGGTCTTACGTGTCCGTTAAGTCCATGAGACCGTAGGGTGTCCCAATCGTCATTTTAGCATTCAGAAGTGTGCTCGCGAGCGCCCCCTTAGCGGCCGTTATGCGCCCTCAATCCGCACTTCTGCTGAGCCCGCACTGGGGCGTCACTGCAGAACACAAGTTCCAGGGGGCGAGTTTGGATCCAGATCCAACTCCTCCCACCTTACATATACCTAAACCTACCCGTCTCCACCCCCTGATCCCTAAACCCACCCATCTCCACCCCTAAACCTACCCATCTCCAACCCTAAACCTACCATCTCCACCCCCTAGATGTGGATCCAGCCCCGCCCCCTGGATCTTTGTTCTGCAGTGAGGGGCTACTGCTGGGGCGAGCTCCGCAGCAGACTTCTACCCGACAGTCAAAGTGGCATTACGTCACGAAAGTGCGGACTCAGAGGAAGACCGCGAGGTTTTAGGGTGCAATTTGGGACAGGGCCATAATTCCACTCTGACGGGAGACACTTCAATGATTTTACAAACCCAAAATTATCAAGACAGTTGCGAAAGGTAATCAGTGGAAGTGTAATGTGTCAGAACTCATAAGAATTACAGTGACAACTCTATATACAAACAAAACATGAGGGCTCGTATCATAAAAGCTTCAAAACTCTACTGTTTTTTGTCACATCCTTGTCTTTATTTTTCATATTGCCTGTATTGACAAAATTAAATTTTGCTTGATTCAGCAGCAGATCACACTATAAATAAAATGCATAATCGCTTACTTTATAAAACTCCTCCGTGTTTACTTCTGTATGACAGCGCGCTGCGCAAGTGATGCCAAATCCACAGTTTCCCCACGGAATTTGGCTACTTTTTTCACTGTTGCCGCGGGATGTTTTTCAACTTCGTGGGTCGACGCGACCCCACTAACGTGATATTTATCCCCCTGAACATGGTTGAGTTAGTTTTGGACTAGTTTTGAGAAGCAATTGGGCGGATTCTGTTGTGTAAACCTGGAAACCCTGTTCGTATTGCTCTTTTGCGCATGCGGGTCAGTTCAGAACCATGATCTGTTCACACTGTAAAACTGATATTGGCCACATTTAAAACAACAATGTGAACAGCCACACAAAAAAAATCGAATCTGAAAAAAATAGCGGAATTGAGCACTAAGGCTGCAGTGTGAACGTAGCCTATGAATTGACTGGATGAAATTTGTAAGAGGAGCAGCACAATTTATTAAAAATCCAAGATGGCGACCAATCAACTAGAGTCTTGCTAAAGAGTCTGACAAGCTCAAAATTGGTTTAAGGCTTCCAAAGACAAAAATTTGTACGAAAACCAACAAATACAATAAGGTGCGTCCAAAACTTCACTGCTTGGGATCTCAAATGTGACACCGCTACAAAGTTGGGCCTGTATGTTCACAATCCATGGATCAAACCAATTATGTAAATAGTGCAATAGACAGATCTGTGCAACTTAGCGTTAGTGCTAATTCACAGTGGAAGATAAAGATTGACAAATTCAAAACCTGAAAACAAGTCTCTTTTATGCTCCTTTCTGTTGCTTGGATTGTATTTACTCAGAAAAACCAAAGCAAGCCTGCAGAGATCATGTTACGGCAGTTTGAACAGCAATGGCAGTGCAATAAACTTCAGACCGTCTATAAAGCAACAAATGTCTTCAATATATATAAGAAACTAGTAACCCCAAGCAGACAACAGCTCTAAAAGTGCCAGAGGAGCTTAATTTTTAACCCAACAGGGAAGAAAAATCACACTGAATATTTCTTGAATATCTCCATATTATCTTTTCTCAAGCATGATTGGCAATGAGAATAAATGGAGAAAAAAATGGAGGAAATTGCTCCACATTTTCCATCAGTTCTTTTGAAGACCAAATTCAAAATTAATCCTACTTACTTCATTAATGAACAATCCTGGCTTTGGTGCACATTATTCAGACAAAAATTATGTTTTCTGCCGACATCATTAAGTGCTCTTACATTTTAGCCCCGCCCCTTCATCACCTGTCACCATTTTGGCATTTAACACTCACTTTTCACATTCCAATTAAATGTTAAATAAATTCAAGTCCGACCCTTCAATTTGTCTTATTAAAAATCCTGTTTCATCAGATATAAGTCAAACCCAAATGCCATTTTTCCATGAAACCTCACTGAGAACTCCAACAAATCTCCTGAGCTACGAAAAGAGCCACTTCTAAGCAATAACATTTGACTTTGGGAAGCTAACATTTGTTGCTGAAGCTAAGATCTGTTGCTTACCATGCGATGAGCCTGCCAAAGGCTTCAAACACTGGGAATCTGATTCTAAAGCATTACAGCCAGCTTGTCCTCATCCAATTTCATCTCTCAGCTGCATCCCAATTGATAAATGCTGAGGGGGAAAAATTAAAAACCAACGTTCTACCCTTTTGGCATTCGCACAGAGCTATCCGATGGCTCAACTAAGGTTACATGGTAAAACACGTCTGATGTGTGGCTTCACATTAAGTGCTTTAAAGACCTGCCATTCACAACCAAAGATCTCCACTTACTGCTCTTAGGCTCGAGAGCAGCACTTAGGCTTGTGCTTTCCAAGAAACTAAACATATCTATTCAGAGTAGCACAGCACTGCAAGAGAGATATTTCTTTATTGCACAATTTCCTCTTGTTTTCACACTAAAAACTGGGGAAACGAGGAGCAAAAAGAAACACATGTGGAATATGTGTTTGTGATGAAATGAGCTAGTCTAGCGTGACTAGGCCAAGGAGTCTGTATTACGCATAAACAAATTAAATACACGCATGGACGGCACGATATTTACAGTCCAAAGGGCAGCTTTCTCTAAAGGTAATTGTCCGAACTCAAAACATGAGTGTAATGGAACGATTCGTCCTGTTTTCAGGTCCGTATGAGGCTGTTTTGTTCGCAAAGGGATAGAGATGAAGATGTTAAAGGTGAAGTGTGTCATTTATTTTTTTCTCCAAATGGAATTGCAAACAGGTTACCTGAAAGTTCCTCCACATCTCCTATTGGTCGGTCAAACTGCTAGTTCCGCCCCAAACTCAACTCATTGGCTGATCTTGTCAGGTTGATTAGGATGCTCAAACAGAGCAATGTTTTTAATGTTGTTGCATATGAAGTTGGGTTTGGAATAAATATTTTTTAATATAGAAAATATTAATACACATTGCCTTTGAAGGCAAGGGAAACGTGGATTTGTTGGCTTAGCAAAGATTTTAAAAGGTCATGTACTTCCTTTTAAAATAGCTAAAGTTTGTCGCTACTCTCCATGAACCTGACTAACAATTTGGCAGCATGTTTCATCGAAGCCAAAGTCTCTCAGTCACTGGCAGTTTGACAGCCTTTGGAAATAGCATTGTTAGCATTTATGCAATCAACCAAATCCAAGTTTCTATGGCTTTAACCTATTTCAGTTGAACTGTTCCCGAATACACTGCAGTATAACAGCATAAGGAATGGAATTAGTTATTTGAAAAGGGTAATATTGAAAATGCGCACACAAACGCACTAATATATATAACAGCAACATAGTTGGGCATTAAAACCTATATACATTCTAAATGCTAAATTTATATATAGCAAGAAAAGCTGAGCTGCTCAAAGAAAAAGAAAAATGGGAATCTTCAAGGCAAATAAACCAAAACAAAATTAGATGATAATTAATAAAAATAAATTCACTGATTAAAAAAAAAATAATAATAATTTAAATAAAATACACTTTGAATGCAAATTTGTTTGGAATGAAACTATGTACTGAGAGCTAAACAACAACTTCTGATGGAAACAAAAGAAAGAAAGAAAAAAATAAAATAATAAAATAAAATAAAATACACTTTTAGCAGTGAATCTGTTTGGAAAGGAAATCACGAGCTAGGTAATGTTTTTTTTTCCTATTAAAGGTGCTGTAAGCAATGTTAGCTGTTTCGCTAACCCCCACAAGCCAAAGAATTCAAAATGACTGACAGTCTGAGAGTGACATCTGTCAGGAAGCAGGGATATTTTCTGCATGCTATTCCATTTTTTAAAAATCACTTATAGCACCTTTAAATGTATTGTAACTACTGCATACATCGATCAAAATAATATCACTACTGCATAAAGTACGTCTAAAGGGACTGCACTACTGTTTTCAAGCACAGCAAAGGAACCGACCACTCTAAGGGCACTGAGAGGTCGTGCTACTGTAATATTCAGACTCTGTGGTCAGTGCCTACAGTAAAGTACAAGGCAACTAAGATCTACAGGCAGTAGGTCTGGACTGCATGGGTGCAGTGCATTGGGATGGGGTGAATAGGAGGTGTAAGAACCAACCTATTGGATTAGTCTCACCATCATTGCACTTTGGGAGGTCTAAGGTGCACGGGTTGTATCTAATCTCATATTCAAAGGTCACTGGGCAGCAGCAGACAAACATGTAGGCCACATTTTGAAGAAAAAGGAAAATAGTATCCAGAACATTATCTGTGGTTCTTTTTAGAACGGAGGTTTAGAAAATTTTAAAGTACACGTGAAATAATTCTGAAAGAGGGCAGTGCATCGGCGTTCTTCCCATTCCGTACATCTTTCCCATTATCCAGAGACCTGCATTCGATTGGTCAGTGAAGAAGAGGCGAGCCGTGTGACTAGACAAGCATGTGAATCTCGTTGTACTCATCCCGTCCATCTTCATCAAAATTGGGCGAATCCTCATCAGTATCCAACTGCAAGAACAAAAACGACATTTTAAAATGAAATCAACACCAGGTGGATTTTCTCAGCTGACTGATGAACTCACCGCTGCAAGCTCTCTCTCCTCAAAGATCCTGGTCAGGATGAGTCTACGCAGAGGTACGGTCATGATTAGGATGAAGGGAAAGGCCAGAGAGGCTACTGTCGACTTCACCACCCACAGCAGGGCGATACACAGCAACTGAATGATGGTAAACATGTTCATACGCCATGTCTTCACCTGTATGTGAAACAAATCATGCCTAGAATTATAACAAGGTCTAGTGAAAAGCTTCTATTTTGCCTTTTTTAAATGTAATATGTATTATTTTTGTATATTGTCAGGCACAACTTTGCTTATTTCATAAGTCTCCTAGAAATGGTGCAAATAGTTCCTATTTGTTTGATTTCTTTGTTTCAATACTTTGTTGATTTCAAGTTATAAATTAGATTTTCAATACTTGATTTCCAATGTAGTCTCAGACTTTTGAACAATACACAGTGTTCAAATTTGTCAAATGTGGTTAGTAGTTTTCATTTTTAGGGTTGTGTTAATAAGTGCGAAATGAAATGGTGAATTGTGTGCCACCTTGTGGGTGCTTCGAAAGCTTTCAAACAGAATCCAGATGTAAATTTAGTACAAACTTGTAGAATCTACCGTGTGGAAATCAAACACAAACACATATAATAAGCTGTCAGCACTGCGTTTGTAAATAACATCACTACTACCTCAGAGTCTCAGGAAAAAGTGCTTACCTTGGTAACATAGATGTGGTCAGGGTGATGTTTAGCAGGTGTGACCATGAGTGTGATTCGCTCATAAAGCTGGATACCAGTAAGAGACGTGACGCCCATGTACAGGAATATCCCAAACAGCACAGCCAGAGGAATATGACGCAGCACATCTGTCATCACTATAGACAACCCTGCACAGAGGTGATGGGATTGACAGAATCAGGAAAGTTTTTCTACCTAATTTAATTGAATAGTATTCTCTGAAAAATATTAATGTCAACAAGGAAACTTGAGTGGTCTGAAATATAAAACAGATGTTGTTAATACAGCAATAAGCCACTCAAACCATGCATTACAGTAAGTTTACCATGGTTTTACTATCATGTTCTTATGCACAACATGAGGCTGAGTACGAAAACCCCCTCTTAAAGGGATAGTTCACCCAACAATGTCAATTCTGTCTTTTACTCACCCTCAAGTTGTTCCGAACCAGAAGAATTATATTCTACTGACTTCCAAAGTAAGAAAATAAAAAAATACTATGAAAGTCAACAGGGACCAAAAACTGTTTGGTTACCCACTTTGGTAAAAATATCTTATTTTGTGTTAAGCAGCAGAAAGAAACTCAGACAGGTTTTGAACAACTTGAGGGTGAGTAAATGATGACAGAATATTCATTTTTAAGTGAACTATACCTTTAACCATAGTGAAATCATGGTATGCCAACCTATGTTAAGTACTTTTTTTTTTTTTTTATGTAGGAAGTTCACGATTATCAAGTAACGCAACACATTTCTGGTGTGTTCATTGTAATTGCAGGTTTTGGAGTAGTAAAAACTTCTGTCAAATTCATAATTGCAACTGCAAGCTCTGACTTTTCCCTTTTGGCTGTTTTGACGTCATATAAAAACAAATCAAATGGCAGCAGCCTTAACAGCTAAAGGTAGTTAATTACTTCTAAACTCTTTGCCATTTGATGCCCTTTTTATTACAGCTGATGCTACCCAGTTAATGTGATTTAAATTAATGTGTAAATTAATGTGATTAAATATTATATTGTCATCAAACTCAAACATGAAATCTCTTTGCTGTTATAAACATTGATATCATAACAGTCTTGTGATTATAGTGATACTGACTGAAAGTGAATGCAGCACACACTGGTTTGAGGTCAGTAATTTATTTTTATTTTTTTAAGAAATTAATAATTTTATTCAGCGAGGATTAAATTGATTAAAAAGGACAGTAAAGAGTTTACAAAAATATATATTTCAAACAAATGCTGTTCTTTTGAACTTTTTATTTATCAAACAATCCTGGATTAAAAATACGATTTTATTTATTTTTTTTTTTTGAGCAGCAAGTCAGCATATTACAATGATTTTTGAAGGATCATATGACACTGAAGACTGGAGCAATGATGCTGAAAATTCAGCTTTGCATCACAGGAAGTTTATATAGAATTTGTAGTCACAGGTGAATTAACACGGTTCTACACAATTGTGTTTTAGTGTTCCTTACCCACTAGGATAGACACACACATCCCTGTCACCCTCTGCTCTTTAACTTCATGGATCATGGGCTTCTCTCCAGGGGCAATGGCTTTGCTCATGACTGTCAGTGCATTCACGTGAGTCACCGAGCGCACAGTGGCGGCAGTCAGCCAGGGCAGACCGAAGAGCGGGCAGATAGCTCCTAAAGTCACTATCAGAAGCAGGTCCAGATGAAAGCCAGAACCCTTGACCAAATGTCGCTCCTTCTTGCTTACTATCAAGCTGCAGACAGGACGAACTTGATGCAATGAGCCACAAAAGCATTGTAATTGTATTGCATTTCCATCTGAGCTTAGACAGAATGTCTCTCGAAGGATCTGTCAGCTTACTCACGTGGTGATTTGAGTCTCCATGAATATGAGGATAAAAACCAGCAGGGCCGGGATCACTGAGGCCCCCATCATCCAAACAGGGAAAGGCTGTTTATCTCCAAAGGGGCTGATAAACCAGCTCCGTTTGTCCGGAGATGTGACCGAGAAACCAGAAGGGACGTTCAGCTTCTGCAACCACAAAAAACACAAGCGCTCGTAACACAAGGATTCATTGGTTACAGTGCTCTGCCAAACCTACCACACTGTAATACAGACTCGGAAGAAACCTGGCTCCAATTACAGGCCAGTGCTTAATAAGAAGAGCACGCTGGGAGAGGAGCTTCTTTGTGGTAGTATACATACTGCACATGACAGTTTAACAGTGTGGTTACCTGTGTGTATGTCTCAGGGATGATGCAGTCCACCAGCACGGAGATGAGTATAGAGATAGGAATCCCGAAATCACCAATGATTCGTCTGGCCTTTGATGATAACAGATGATACACACACAAACAGAGGATGCCAAACTTTTTAATCAGCTCAAAATGTTTGCTCACAAGGAATCCTAACATAGCAACAACAAAAAATTATGTTTGCAATCAGTAATTTTGTTGATTTCCAGGAAAAACATCATTAAATTGAAATGAATTTATTTGAGAAACAAAACTGATTCTCCCAAAAAAAAAAGAAGAAAAAAAACCCCTATAAAAGATAGGTAGAGAAATGTTGATTTAATAACATTTAAATTAAATCAATAAAAAAAATCAACTGATTACAAAAACTGTGGCTTTTAAGTGTTTTTTTTATTTTTATAACAATTATATGGCGATTATATTTTTATATATTTGTACGATCAGTATTAATATGGTTAGTATATTAGTATGGTCAAATGTTTAAAAAAAAAATCACACTTTTTAGGTAATTAATCACAATTAATCGCACCTAACATTAGATTTTGTAATCATAAATATATTTTCACATTAAATCTTCAAACAGCTGTACAAACAACATAAAGATGGTATATTTTTTTATTTTATTTAATGGTAACTTTTTTAGTACATCAAAAAATTTAACGTTTAATATGTTAAGTTTTAAAAAGTTAAGGGTAACACTTTACATTAAGGTTCCCTTAATAAAAGGTTTATAAAGGTGTTAATAAATGACTAATAACTCGCTTACAAATGCATTATAAATCATTGATAAGCAGTTATAAATGCATGAGTAATTCCAATATTACCTGTGAACCTTAATGTAATGAGTCATTTATTAATGATTTATAAACGTGAATAACGTGTGAACGTGAACCTTAATGTAAAGTGAACATCTGTGAACCAGTTATTAATGAATTATAAACGTTAATAACGTCTAAAAATGAACCTTAATGTAACGTGATCACATGTGAACCATTTATTAATGATCTATAAACGTTAGTAACCTGTGAAAGTGAACCTTACTGTAAAGTGAACACCTGTGAACCATTTATTAATGAGCTATAAACGTTAATGACCTGCAAACGTGAACCTTAATGTAAAGTGAACATCTGTGAACCATTTATTAATGAGCTATAAACGTTAATAACCTGTGAAAGTGAACCTTAATGTAAAGTGAACACCTGTGAACCATTTATTAATGAGCTATAAACGTTAATAACCTGTGAAAGTGAACCTTAATGTAAAGTGAACACCTGTGAACCATTTATTAATGAGCTATAAACGTTAATAACCTGTGAAAGTGAACCTTAATGTAAAGTGAACACCTGTGAATCATTTATTAATGAGCTATAAACGTTAATAACCTGTAAAAGTGAACCTTAATGTAAAGGAACATCTGTGAACCATTTATTAATGAGCTATAAACGTTAATAACTTTCAAAAGTGAACCTTAATGTAAAGTGAACACCTGTGAACCATTTATTAATTATCTATAAATGTTAGTAACCTGTGAAAGTGAACCTTAATTTAAAGTGAACACCTGTGAACCATTTATTAATGAATTATAAACGTTAGTAACATGCGAAAGCGAACCTATAGAGAGAAAAGTGTTTATTACGTTTGAAATATGGATATTTTTCTTACAAAAACTCATGGATTCGCTACAGGGGGCCTTTATTCATCCCCCGGAGCTGTCTGCGGCATGTTTTATTATTATGAATGCGCGAGCTTTATTTGACGACTTGTGGACTGTTCAACTGCAACACCCGCTGAGTGCCATTAAACAGCTTGAAAGATCAAAGACTATTTTTAATATAACTCCAAACGGATTCGTCTGAAAGAAGAAAGTCATATACACCTAGGATGCTTCGAGGGTAAGTAAAACACAAGCTAATTTTCATTTTTGGGTGAACTAACCCTTTAAAGTACACTTAAATAAAGCTATATACAGTGGTGAACATTTGAAGTGGATAAAAAAAGTTCATTAAAGTTGTCCTAAGACAAGAATGCATTTTGGTTTTAGGTTTTTTGGTTTTCTTTTTACCAAAAGGTTTTGATTCACTTCAAATGTTGACTAGTGTAATAGCTTTGTGAGAGAAACTGACCGAAAAGTAAGATATAATTCAAAGAAAATCTTGATATGGAGTTTTTCAAGAAAAAAAATGATGACAAAGTGGTTTGCTTCTCTTGATTATTTTGTCTTAGATCTTTGAGTTCAGCTCATGAAAAATGGGGGCAAAAACAAAAGTGTTGCGTTTATAATTTTGTTCAGTGTACATTTATTTATTTTAATGATTACATTTTACTGGAAAACAAGACAAAATGCTGATTAAGCAAAGGATATTTCACTGTGCTGACAAAATAACACCACACTACAAACCTTTCCACCAAGGAATCTGCTGTTACGAAATTTTCGCAGAAAGAAGGCCACAAAGAAGGTTCCCATCATGAGCACTAAGGACAGCAGGGCTGTGTTGGGCTGGTTGAGGATGGGTTCCCCAATCACACTATGCCCTTGAGGGTCTATGGGTTTGAAGGCAGGCAGTACAGGAGCTGTAGGGTAGCTCTTCATCAGAGGGTGCTCTTGAAACACCTGAAGAAAAATATTTTAATAAGCATAAAACTACACATACATTGGGTAAATTAATTACATCTATTTATTTTTTAACAATTTTTAATTATGTTACATTTTTAAATAATATTCAATTAGTTATAATAACAGTTAAAATATAATTACCTTCTTTTTAAATGTTGAGTCAAATAGTCCATTTTAATTAGATTTATGTTTTAAAATTCAAATAAAATACTCAGAACAACAGTTAAAATATAGCCAAAAAATATTACCTTCTTTATAATAAACAGAACACAAATACATTAGATTTATATATTTAAATCTAATCAAAATTGACTATTTTATTTATATTTGTGTGCTGTTTATTAAAATGATTTTATTTCAACTATTATTTTAAGAAGTTTAACTATTTTTAAACTATTAATTATTTTACTCAAAATACCTACATATTTTAATTGACACTTTTTGATAATCAATGCATTTTCTTATTCGCCTTAGTTTTATACTTCTCTTATTTTCATGACATAGAAAGTCATAATTATAAAATAGTCTCAGCACATGCAATGCTGCCTTTAAATTTGGCAAAAAGAAGATACCTTCCTCTTAAAACATCCTACGCATCTGAAGCACATCTTTGATACCTTAAAATGCTGTGTAGTTAGGCAGATCACTAGATTTCAGAGCAGAACTTGCACCTGCTGGTATTGGTGACGTACCTTAATTAGCTTAGAGAAGGTTTCATAGATGAAGATGAGAGAGATGAGAAATGCAAAGATCTCCTGGGTGAATGGAGAGATGTATCGCACGAGGAAGCTTCCCTCAGCTGCCACGATCACTAGGACAATGAAGATGAGCCAGAACCCGATCCACACTCGGCCTGTGAGATATTCGAAGCCCTGCGCCTGGCAGAACTGAAAATGAGGCAGAAACAAAGAAGGGGCGACAGGGAAGACAGCAGATGGAAAAGAGAGGAACAGGAAGATAGATGTTAATGTAATGAAAGTACCTCCTTTTCTTCATAATGGTTGAAACATAAAGACAAAAAGTACCTTATAAAAAGCCTCCTCAAAGACCAAAAGTGGTCCAGAGAAGCCAATTATGAGCAAAGGCTGTCCTGCTAGCAGGGAGAACAGCACTCCCACTGTCGCCGTGGAGATGATGAGCTCAGAGACCCCCATCATGCCTTGTGTCTTCTCACCTAAATAAACGGGAACATAAAGTATGAAAATATACTATGGAAGCTCATTTCCGTCACCTACGAAAAAAAAAATCATGCTTTGGTAAATCATAATCATGACAGAAATAGTGGAAATAGTCATACTTCTAAGAACTAAAATCATTAAATGTATAATTATGACTTTTTATGTCATGAAAATAAGAGAAATTATTAAAAAAACAACATTATGAGATCAAAATTGTCAATTATAGCAAGTCAAAATGATGACAAAAAAATTATTATGAGATTAGTCAATTATAACAAAGTCAGAGTTACTATTTAAAAGGGACAAAATATTACGAGACGTCAAAATTATGAAAAAAGTAAAGCTCATCATGACATTTTATCTCATAATTATGACATAAAATGTCAAATTATGACACCAAGTCCTTTAGCGTTTCAAATGTATGTATATCCCTAAGTATGAGATAAAAAGTAACAACTGACAAGCCAATTCATATTTATGATATAAAAAGTCAAAATTATGACATACTCCCCCGGTTTCACAGACAAGGCTTAAGCCTAGTCCCAGACTAAAATGTAATTCTGAGCTGGTTCAACTGAAAGAAACTTGCACTGACTGATCTTAAAATATATCAGTGCCTTTGTTTTGTCTCAAAATGCACACCAGTAATGTTTTTTCTAAGCACGTTTATAAAAATTACTTAAATGTCGTAATTGAACTATGGCCTAATCCTGGTTTAGTCTAAGCCCTGTCTGTGAAACCGGGCCACTATGTTATAATTATGAACCTTTATCTCATAACGACTTTGTCAATTTCGACTTTTTATAAATGTCATAATTTCAACTTTTTACGTCATAATTCTGACTTTTTATTATTATGATTTACCAAAGCATGCTTTTTTTCTAATGTGGTGGAATGGGCTTGTATATTAAACAGACTCCACTATCAAAGATAATTGTCTCATTGTCTCACTTGCCTAATAAACCTCCAAAGGTGATAGTGGGCGAAAGAGCAGCAAAATAAATGAAAATGACAGCAGCAATACATTGTGTGTCCATGGCATCCTTCAGGTCGCTTATGTAGCGTGGATAACGGCGGCGAATATCGTGAATCAGACCCCCAAAGGGAATACCAGAGCGCTTGAGAGGATCAACATCAAACTGATCCTCCTCCTCCTGTTCATCCGTACTTACATCTACAACACAAACAGAACAGGTCAACATTAAACGAACAGACAAACTTGAAAATGTGATCACAAATGCAGTAGGTATTCCACCTTTGGTCTCCTGCTCAGCTCCTGTCACAATACTGCCGCATTTCTTTAGCTCCCTCTCCTTGCGCTTACGTAGCATCTGTTTCTGGAAGGAGGCCACGGTCTTCAGCAGGTCTTTTCCCTCAACGTCTGATGGTGGAATTACAATACTGCAGTCTAAGAACTCGTTGATGCCATTAAGCAGGTCCTGTCGATCATCAGCAAAGTACACTACCTCGTGGAAGTTCTGTGGAAGGTCAGAAAAACAGTGAACCTGAGTGGTTTAGGTCACTAGTCAATTTATAATTTTAACAACTTTTGACCAGTAGGTTGCAGTCCTGAAACTTCTCATCATATCAATATTCAACAGCTAAGCCAAGACAAAGTCTTACTTCCTATTTTTTAGCACAGTCATCAAATTTGTAGAACGGGGTTGAAAATAAAACTTGGTCTGAAGACTTGGTCTAAAGATAATCTGAACTCATTATGTCCAATCTTCTCAAAAATGTACATATTAAATTAAATTAAATTAAATTAAATTAAATTAAATTAAATTAAATTAAATTAAGGTCATAAGTTGAAACTTGACAACTTAGAATGGAAGAATATAAGCAAACCAGAATCATAATTTTGGTCATTTTGAAGTTACTTTTTTTTTTTTCATAAAACTGATTAAAAGCACTTTTAGGATATAATGCCACTGATACCGACAAAGTTTTGTTTCAGTTTGCCAAATTAGAGAAATACACGTACATTTTACTTTGCGACTTTGCCATAAAATTCCTTACAGATTTATTGGAGAATGGGAAAGAAGATCAAAAATCCATTCAGTGACCTTTGTGTGGTTTGGTCTGGAGATCATCTGACCCAACTTTGAAGATTGGGCAAAATTTGCAGAAGTACCAATGAAAAATTGTTTTCAATCAAATTCAAAATGGTGGACAGGTAATAAGGCAAAACGTGACTCCAAACTGACTCCAAACCAGAAGTGTAATTTCAAGCCAAGACATTTGGATTTCATTTGTTATGTAATGAAACAAGAACTACGAACTCTTAGGACATGATAGCACTGATACTCTAGTTTTCCCCCCAAATTTGCCTAAGCCCAGGGTGCTCATTTATGTTCCTGGAGAACCTAATTAACTGGTTTAGGTGTGTTTGGTGAACTTTGCAGGAAGGTAGATCTAAAGTAACAGGAATGAGCACCTCTGGCCTAAGCACTGCAGAGATATACTGTATATCATCCATTCCTGTTGGCCAGTCCCACCACAATTCATTACAGGTTTACAGAACAATGAGAAAAAAAAATCCATTCTGAGATTGTGTGGCTTGGTCTCAATATCATCTGTCACTATTCTGGAGAAGATTGGATAAAATTTATAGGTGTTAGTAAAAATATTATTTGTTAAAATCCAAAATGGCAAAAGATCGAGTCTGAACTGAACACCATGACCCAGTGAATCATAAGAAAAAGCAAAAACAAAAATACAATGTTGAGCCATTTTTGGCACTGTAACAGTGGTTCGCAACCAATGAGCCGAGATATTTTTCACAGGACAAAGCAACAGCTAAAAATCAAGATATTTCTTATTTACATGCACCACCACTTGGGTATTTTTATATATTTTATGCCAAGTTACTTTAATATGAAATAATTTATCAGGTAGAAATTGTGAGTGAAAAATATTTTTTAAAACTCTAGTAAATAACGAATAATCAAGTAAATAACGAACGGTAGCACTTTAGTATAGGGACCAATTCTCACTATTAGTTGTTTATTAGCATGCCTATTAATAACATATTGGCTGTATAAATTCCATTGTTTGGTGAAAATCTGTGTCAGCTTCCACACCGGATCACAAAGGAAGTTATGCCCCCTATAGGCTTAAATACTATACTATATCTTCTAAATATCGCCATCCTATTCTCTTAAAGAGATACCATGTTAAATATTAAACACATAGTCCAGAAACATAATATTGAAAACAAAAATTATAAAATAAACAGAAGAATATACTATTATTTTCGACCATATTCTACATCCCCAATCCTAATCAATACCTAAACTTAACAACTACCTTACTAACTATTAATAAGCAGCAAATTAGGAGTTTACTGAGGCAAAAGTCGTAGTTAATGGTTTGGTAATAGCGAGAATTGGACCTTAAAATAAAGTGTGACCTAACGAACAAATGGAAAAGTCATGGGGCCTCGAATATTGTTGTGGACAATGGCCAGCCTTGGGCTCAAAAAGGTTGAGAACCACTGCGTTATAAGATTTCAGAAAAACTGACCCCAAAATTTTCTGAAAAAGAGACTAAACAGCAGAAAACTATGAGATAGAATTGGTCTCTTCACATATTTGTTACTTGGCCCTAATAATCTACAAACCGTGATATATATTGCATGTAAGATGAACCTTATCGGACATGAGGGTGGAGAAGGAGCGTCCAATCTCATGATAGTCCATGTTGGTCTGCGTGGGGCCCAGCAGCACAAAGATGAACCGAACGGGAACGGGGACTTCCAGAACGGACTCCAGCAGCACAGCCTCGTTGAGCCGGACAAAGGCCATCGCAGGCTTCTCTAAGAACTCCACACACCCTATAAACACATTTATTGCGGTAAAAAATCAAACCACACAAATAGGGATCCAGTGACAGAAATCAAACACAACCTAAAGCATTCATCTTCGCTTAGCTGACTGAGACATTATTGGAAAACTCTGGTGCGATGACTCAACATCATCTCTGGACCTGAAAACAACAAACGCTGGAACGAAACGCTACTTTGCTTACCCACTAAGACCACAGTGGCCTCGGCATCCTTGGGAATCTTTGCCAGGAGTTTCATAGATCTGGCGGCAGCGTGTCCCTCAGCTGGGACAGGGTGGAGGTTTTTCTTTTGTTGACAGAAGAACATAGTTAGTGCCATATGAACATCACACATCAGCCTCAAGCTGTGGCAGAAAAGCTTTGGCAGATAGTACATGCATAGCTGCCCTCGCTCCGATTGTTTATTGTTCCACACGACTGTTTCGCTCATGTGTTCGGGTGACGGGGTGCAAGTACGTTTTGTGAATTTTAATGAACCATTGTGCCTGTTTTGTATCACCGAGCGCAAATCTAAACCTACAGATCCAGGTGACAAAGTGGAAAAGCGAATGTTAAATCACTTTAAATCAATTTAACACAATACGTCTTCACTTTTTATATGGGCTTTTTCGAATGTGCCAACATTTTTAGCCATGGGGAACATTCATAGTTTCATAGCTAATGTATCAAAATTTTAACTGGAAGCACCTGTAAACTCACTATTACTCTTAATCCTGAACATGTGGCAAAGCAGCTTACATGATCTAAGCATTAGCAGTGCTGCTAACCAGGCCCAGACCGAACGTGCAGATGTGTTTTCACTGCAAAAAAAATATTTTCTTGCTTAGTATTTTGTCTTGTTTTCCAGTGCAAATATCTAAATCAAGATACTGTACATCTAAGCAAAATAATTTATGTTTTTTTTTAATATCTTGACAAGTCTTGTTTTCTAAAAGAAATACGAATTAAGTGAGTTTTTGTTTAAAGCAGGAAAAAATATCCGCCAATGGGCTAAGACAACTTAATTCAAATGGAAAAATATGTTGATTTTTTTTACCCAACTGGCCGATTGTTTCTTGTTGTAAGCAAAATCTCTAAACTTAATATCTTATGTCATTTTGCTTCTCAAATAAATGTATTTTAAATATTTGAAGTGGAAAAGACAAAATACTGAATAAGAAAATCATTTTTTGCAGTTTCGTTGATTTTACCTGAAAACCTGTGGGATTCTGTAGAATGTATTTAAATAGGGTAAAATGTGTTCAGTACAGCGCTACACTCTTATTGGTAGCTAAGAGCATAATCAAATTAGCCAACATGTTTAATTTAAAACAAAAAAACAATGCAACAGAATTTTGGGAATGACAAATGTTCCATTTCTTTCCACAGTGATCGGATTCTGTGTGGGCCTGAAAGTGGATATCTTAGGTTGGTTAAAACTGGTTAAGCTGGTTTTCCAAGCTGATTTTCAGTTTTGTTGGTCAACCCAGCTGACAAGTATCCAAACCCCTCTCAAATGATCAAAACAAACCAGCCTGACCAGATTTTTGGTCAACTAGGTCCAGCGAACCACTGTAGGCTAGTCTAAGCTATTTCTTTCCTCAGTAGAGCTGGTTGTAACCCACCAAACATTTACATCACATCTCTTGGGTGCTGGCCTCCAGAGCAATGCACCCTGAAGGGACCAAGGGCTACCACAAAAGTCAAAGTTGGTGTCCTCCAGGTGACAACCTCTGGCCCAGTAAGCTTGGCGGCAATTATCTAGAAGCCTGAGTCCTTTCTACGACATGCACACAAGAAGCAAGCAACTCACAAATAATGTCACAAACACCTCTTTGTCATGTTCTGCCGCTTTGCTGTCGTGCATCTCCTCGTGGTCCTGGGACACCAGGGGCAGGCTGGTGTCGTGAATGTGATTGTGGTTGTGACGGAAGCCGCCCAGACTGGTGACAGAGTGGTTCCGATGGAAAAGGCCTTCTTTCTCATCATTGGGGTGACTGAACAAGAGAAAGTATTGATAAATCTGGTGAGAAATTTTTCATGTCAGAATGTTAAATGCACAAAAAGTCGGCAAATAAGATAAATGTGACCCTGGACCACAAAACCAGTCTTAAGTCGCTGGGGTATATTTTTAGCAATAGCCCAAAAAACATTGTATGGGTCAAAATTATCCATTTTTCTTTTATGCCAAAAATCATTAGGATATTA